CACACGTCATCCAGCGCGACCAAGACCGAACAGTAGATACAATGAGCTAAAATAGTGATGAAGTAAATACGAGGTTTAAGTCGTCTTTTCAATTTTCATGGTAATGCGGAAGCTCTTCGCTCAACAACATCGCAGCAGACATGCTCGTCTATATAGACTTGTGTCTTCGAGTCAGTGAGCAGCCACTGGGCGATTAAATCCCGAATAATTAGCGCTGCCACGCCCACACAATATTTAGCGAGGCTAGCCGCCTCAGTATAGCTGCGCGAGCAAACGGTACAGGCAAACAATGAACGCGTCAGTTGTAGTACGCAACGTCACAACATCGAGCTAAGTAATGTGCCTCAGTTTTCTGAGCGGCCTCACCGTAGCGAGCAAGAAATGTATAACGATTTCAGTTCTTGTCCCCGCCCCCCTCAGTCGTACAAGATTTTCGCTTTTAGCGCAATATTGGTACGATGACACGCTATCTACCGGTGCCGTCCCACGTGCGTGAGTCCATCTGGTGTGTATAGTATAATCGCAGCGTTTTTAGCGTGGCTTGACGCACGCAAGTTTATCCGAAATATAATGTCGCCATCGTCTATACATGTCGAAATGGTCCGCTGGCCAATATAGACACAATACGAGAAAGAAGTAAGTCCTGCTGTCTTTTTCAAGTTTCAAATACAGACGAAAATTATGAACTTGCGTCACTATAATGCGAATAAGGTAAAGCGAAGCGGTTTGAGCTTTAATATCTCACAGTACGAATGCTCCCTGCTGTCATCTTACGGTCTATTTCGTAGTGTTAAGCACGTATCAGTTGATGTATTTCCAAACATGAAACGGTTATTCTCGAAGCATTAAACTACAATCAAAATTAACGCTAGTAGCTGCAACAAGCGTAAGCGGACGACGATACGATATAGTGGACAGCACAAGCAGAAACCGGAGCTTTCCAGATTGTTTAAGGACAAAGAAAAAGCTGTAGCTTTACAGCCAAGTACGCTCCCTCTGCATAGATTTGTGGGTCTGCCCCTCTTGTCGAGAAAGCATGCAACTTTCTACGCTAAGGTCATTACCACGACAAGAAACGTTGCCACGTTCGAAGTAATGCCAGATGATTTTTGAGCAAATCGACAGAGATCTCACGTACTGTAGTAAAGGGTCTACAAAGGCACGGCACGTAAGAGCCACAAAAATCGACGCCCGAGCAGCTGTAAGAGTCCAGTAGTTTTCTATCCCATCCATCTGATGGATAGACTCAAAACCTCCAGGATGCTGAACGAATACTTGTTTCAGACTATAGTATGGAGCTCTCACTCTCTATTTCGCCTCAAAGACCTCACCTTTCGCTCAAAGCCGCTTTAACCCTTATGAATTTGTCTGTCAACCTGCTCTTGATTGTGGTTCTGCTGCTTTTTTGTTCCAGTGACGTGGTTTCAATCGCTGCGACGCCAGAGAACTCGTCCTTTCGTTCGGCTCCTTCTACTGATGTTAATGCACGTAAAGACGCCCGATCACTGCGAGCGCTAAACTCGGCTGGCTTCAGCCAGCTGATCAATTCACTCACCACAAAAGTGAAGTCATTCATTCCAAGGACGGCTGCATACGCTGCAGCGAAGCAGGCAAGAGCTAACAAAGCGGCAGCCGCACAGAAAGCTCGAATTGAGCAACAATCAAAAGACGACCAGGCGGCGCTCTTGAAAATGGGCTTAAGTCGCTTCGATCAAGATGTTGACTCGGCGATGTTGAAACTCCGCAGCCAGGATTTCAGACGTGACGGCTATTTTTTTTTAATCCTTTATAAAAACAATATATCCGCCAAAGACCTTGGAAGGATGCTCGAAAGCGCCTGCCACAAAAGTGATGAATTGGTCAGAGACACGGTGGTTGTTACTGTCCGCGAATACGCAAAGTATCTAGGACAGGCAAGAAGGCGTGAAATACCTCCTCACTTGACATAATGGGGATTGCAACAGTCAGCGTCATAATATAGATCGGTGACCACTGTTCTTTTTCATGTTTGTCTCGTTCGCGCATCGATTCTGACTCGTTTAATATCGTTTTGCCCCAAAGTCTCCAGATATTCTGTTGTACGCTAGGTCTAGCAAGCGGCGTGAGTAGCAAGTGGAGCAGCTAGTGTGATTCTTCAAGCAAATGGCAAGGTACTTCACGGTGGTCGAACTCACTTGGTCGCAAGTAAAGTCGACGTCGGTCTTTTCGCTTAACAATTTATAAAATGGTGGTATAAACTTGTACTTGTTAGGAGACTGCAAGAGCATCGGCGGGTTAAGCGTTATCTGCTGGTGTGTTGCTCGGATAGATCCCTTGACTGAACGATCGCATCGGTAGTACCGATCGGTACGAATGCGATGTATACAACTAGCCAATGCTGAACGATTGATTTGTTTGAATACCTGCTTGCTGCAGTCAGAGATCGTGCACGTGAACGCAACTATCATCCAAGACTGAAGTGAAGAGCTGGATGCCAGCATGAAGATGCAGTGCCTTATTGTGATGACAAGCCACACTTTAGGCTCTGACTGGAAAAGGACGACCGCACGTTTAACGACCTTACCTTTGTCACTCTGACCGCTGCATGCTAACCAGGATTGCGGTGGACGTAGCCAAGCTCTCGATGTGTCAGACTACACATACTCCACCACGATCATTGATAACTTGTGAATGAGATAGCGCTGGATGGAAGGTGTAACATGCTGATACACTTCTAGGTGTATGCAAATTACTCGTTTGAACGAGTCCGTAGTAGTGGACACAGCAACTATTCCATGCAATTTGACGTATTGTGGAGAATGCTATTTGTCTCACATCAAAAAGCATGTCGCGGACGTGACTGCGTAAAAACTAGCGCGCATGGAGGAATAACGGAATTGGTGAGTTGCCCGGTGATGCCGTAGAAAATGCTGAAACGCGTAGAGTCATTAAACCTCTTGGATAATCGTGTGTACAGTAGTTGCTGACCAAGCCCTTAAGTGTTCACTCCAACTTTTGCGAACTATTACTGTACTCTAGGGCTTGTTACTCCTGCATCAAATGCTTTTCTCGACTCATGTGATCCTCTATTTCGATATTTTAGATAATACTACAATCACGACAGCGTAAGGTCACGCTAAACTTCGACAAGCGCTGATAAAATAAGCCGACAAGGCCATCAAATTGGACTTCACACCGTCTGTACGTGGATGATTCCAATTGTCACGGTAATCCTTGTAACGATTATGCAGTATGCCGCGCACACCTATGGCTAGCACATCGCTAGTAAGTAAGAAGGCTGACCGGTTCTTCTCCACCACCTTTCGAAAACATTGACCACGCAAACATACCATGACTTTACTATCGCCTATGCTAAAACAGTGACGATGCCACACAGTCGCGCTTGGAAGGGTTGTCTTCTGTCGCGTTGCTCGCTCAGCGATGAGAATGCGGCGATGGAAATGACGGACTAATCTGAATATTGCTGCGTACCGAAAACAGGCTTCTCGCAAGTATAGACCAATGTAAGAGCCGCCCATCGTGCGAAAAGAAGTCCGTTTATATCTCGACGGAAAGAGGTCGTTGCAATGATATGCGTAGTATAGAACTGGTAGCTTAATGCCTAGTTGTGTAGTTTTGTTGGGAATAGTCATCGCAGAAGAAGCGGCGAGATAGCATTGCAAGCCACATTCTGTGTTTAATGAAATCCTGATTTCAGGAAGTAGAACCACAGAATCGAGACAACTTTTGTATACTTCATTACCATTCATTATTCTTAAAACTAGTGTTAGCCATACATGCGCCTCCGTTTGCAATTGCATAACGCAACAATCTACCAGCTCAACCGGATGCTTGCGCTACAACACCACACGGTACTTATCGTTACAAAGTACAGCTAATGTGTCTCCTGTTGACGACGATGCGCTAGCACTATCAATTGTATTTGCATCAGTTGCCACGGCCAAGTGCTTTTCAATCGACATTGGACGAGCCGGTAGCATGTATATGTCACAAAAATTAAACACATATCAGAAAAAGATTAACGGTCGCCTTGCTTGCTCAACCACACTATCCACGAGCAAGAGCTGCAGTCAGCGAAGTAGTAGCGGTCGTGCAATTTGACTGTCAAACTGGAAGTATCACGATGCTGCATTGTAAAGGGGCACCCTTTGTTTGGTGTACCGCAAAACTTCACGTACACTAGTACGTGCAGAGGAAGCTAATCTACTTGAACGACTCGGTCAAGTAAAGGTAAAAAGAGAACTGTATTTAACATAGTTAAGCTATCAATATAACTTAATCTTTATCTAACTATACTACACTACGTCGTCATCTGACGACAACCTACTCACCACTCATTGCGCGCGTCTAGCAGCGATTGATGGCAATCTATGATTGACATGTCTTGTATCAGCCCTTCTTGGAACAGCGCATGAATATTATCTGTAACGGGGCACCCTGAAGCTTGTACTGGTGACAGTACAAGCTACTTATTCTGATAACAGAATAAGGCGGTGCCTCGTAACTTCACGTACACTCGTACGTGCAGAGGAAGACGGTAAGAAGAAGCGAGTACTTGGTTAGAGTAAAACGTAGAACTGTATTTAGTAATAGTTAATGTCTGTTAATAAATCACTATTTATCTTCATCTAACTATGTCTAAATACAAATGTGTATATCAGTTATCTGCTCACCACTCATTGCGTGCGTCTGTCGTGGCGCGTCTTCGTTGGTTGATATAATGGCCTATATCAACCAATTAGGAACTACTCGTAAGTGCTGCAGAATATTTGTCCTTATGACAATATTCTGAGAATATAACTCTTATAGTTATATTCTATTAACAATTTCTTATAAATTGTTATGTAACGATTCACCCCGTTACATCACCCCCCTTAACCATCAGTCACTTTAGTGACTGATTGACTAAATGGATACTCGTCCCAAATCATTTGGGACAGGGTTTGCACTTGTTGGTCCGCGTCCACTTCCCAACATTTCATCGCATGGTTAACAAGCCCATGCGATGCGCGAGCAAGGCCGCCGAGAGCGCGTCTGCACGTCTCTGTGCGGACGCCGAAGCAGAAACCACAGCAACTGATGTCCCATCGGTTGCTGAAGCGACTCAGCCTGTGTCACTTGGTGATGCAGGCGCTGGTCATGAAGACACTCGTGTCTTCACAGAGTACGAGCTCGGTGTCTCGTACTCTCCTGATACGGATGACGGATCCGTATCGACGGCAATTGAATCCAAGCCGCCTGCCAAGCGTGGCATGGACGATGCTTTGCGTCGCAGCATCTTTGGTTCATCTGACGAATCAGATGAACCATCGCCGAAGCGAAGGCGCTCGAGGTCGCGAGACTCGGGCGCTAATAGTGGTGTCGGTTCTCCTATGGACACCACTTCACAGCGAGGTGCCAGTACTTCTGTCGGCACGTCGCAGGAAGAGCGGGACCGCAATGTCTTGCGTCTCGCTCCAGAAAAGAAGGCACGGGTGCCTCCAAAACTGTCATGGATCACTTGTCGGCGACGACGAGTGATCGTTATCGAACACGATTGTTCGATTCGTCAAGGATCCATCACCTTGACCCCAGCGCGAAAAACTATCGCGCTGAGAATGAATTCTTCATCGATGCTTTCTTTAGACATCGATGGTACAGTGGGAATCACAAGCGTGATGGTCCCTCACTACTTCAAGCGTGGAGCGCCTACATCCATAACCTTGAGGATGTAGGTCGTGACGTTTGGAACGACAAACTTATCAAAGCTCGTGAAAAGTTTGAAAAGCGAACCCCGACAGGTGCACGCTACAAGCTGCATCGTCTGTCAAGGGAGAAAGGATTACCCTGCCTCTCTTGGGGAGACTCGTGCCCATGTTGTGTGAACAACTCTGCACGAGCACCTAAGGAGGCTTACCTCCTTACCAGCCCGTGGTGGCGCGTACGTGTCTCTAGTGAGATGTACGAAGGGATTGACAACCTGAAATCCCTTTACGACCGTGCCGGGAAGACTTTCTTTGGCGGTCCTTCTGCGGCACAGGATGTGCCGCGTCGTACTGCTCAACCAGACCCAGTACGTCAACCATCAGTTGGGAGCGGGGCTCCCAAGTATCCCAGGACGGGGGATAGCCGCGCCACCGGACGAGATAACTCGTCCGACGTCCGTTCACGTCGCGGTGGTTCAACAGCTGCTCAACCAGATAGCGCTGGCCACCGCGAGAGTCCTCTAATGGAGGTGGAGGAGGAGGGAAGACGCTCTCCACACAATCGTGGGGATCCGTGTGTTCCCGAGAGCTTCTTTGATCGCGTAACGCAAGGGTTACGCGGCGATCTCGAACATGAGCGGAATAGGCGTCTCCAACTGGCGGACACTGTCTTGAAGCATCGAGCTGAGTTTGCCTTTGCTCAGCTTGAGAACGAGAGATCTCTGACATCTCTTCGTGACGAGCTAAGGGTAGCTCGTGGGATTGTTGATCGGTCTCGGGCTGAGATAACTGCTCTTCAGACCCTTGTTGATGCCCACCATCGGGAGCACAAGGCTCTCTGCGAGATGCTTGAGCGCAAGGGCGTTCTTCATCGGAAGAAGCAGCGTACTGATGGTACGGCTTAAGCCGACCAACGTAAAACGTGGGATGCGTTCGCATCTTACGTGGCAACTCGATCGTGTATGCATTGCCTAGGCGGTGCAATACACGAAATGGGCCAATGTACTTGGGTAGTAGTTTACTGCTACCCAAGTTAGTCACTACATGCTTTGGTAGATTAACCGTAGACAGTAGGACTAAGTCACCTTTGTTAAATAAAAGAGTGTTTGCCCTTCCATTCTTGTCAGCGTTTTGCTTTTGCTTGTCCACCGCTTCGGCGATGGAGTCTTGCACAAAACGGACTACCGTTTCACGAGCCAGTATGAACTCATCTGATGACTCGTTAGCTTCAGTGTGCTGTGAGCACACTGCAGCAACAACAACCTTTTCTTCAGTGAGGGCTTCCGCACTCTCGCTGGGATCATTGTCTTCAGTGAGGGCTTCCGCACTCTCACTGGCATCATCTTCTTCGATATCGATGTTATCGATATCGGCATCAAACGCAATGACTTCTTCGTCAGAGCGTGATGAGCGTGAACCAAATCGGTTTTTGCTCGCGCGAGTCCCTCCCCCCCTTAAACCAGAGTTACACTCTAGTAAGGTGGGTACACGCGGATGGCGTAAGCCATTCACGTAAAACGGTGTATGTGTCGTGGACGCATGCACCGAGTTGTTGATGGCAAACTCTACCATTGGCAAAAACTCACTCCAACTCTTAAAGGAGTGTACGTATCCTCGAAGTATCTCTTCAAGGACACGATTGGCACGTTCCGTCTGACCATCTGACTCTGGATGATCAGATGTTGACATCTTCAAGCGCGTTCCGAGTGATTTGAACACGGACCGCCAGAAATCAGCAGTGAATCGTGGATCTCTGTCTGATACGAGTTCACGGGGCAACCCATGAAGTCGGAAGATGGTGTCAATAAAGACACAAGCACAGCCACTTGCCGTGATTGTCTCTGGTACAGCCACAAGGTGTACCATTTTGCTGAATCTGTCAACAAATACGAGAATACCCGTATTCCCGCGTGCGTCTTTGGGTAACCCGAAGACGAAATCCATTGAGATGGATTCCCAGCACTCAGCCGGAACCGGTAGAGGCTGTAAAGGTGCACGCAGTGAAGGACTTGACTTCACTCGTTGGCAGACTTCGCATGCGCGAACATACTTTCGCACAAACTGATACTGGCGGGGCCAGTAAAAGTCTCGACTTACCGTGAGATATGTTTTCTCTCGGCCACGATGTCCTCCTATAGGAGCATCGTGATACTCGAACATGATCCGCAAACGCAGATCAGTATCATCTGGAATGACAACACGTGGTGTGTCACCAGAAACGGCTGTATAGTACAGTAAACCGTTACGAGTAGTGTATCGATCTGATGCAGATCGATACGCAGGCGACAATCGTTTCAACGATTCTCGGGATGGTTGGGAGAGATGTGACAACAACTTCACTATCTCACCATCTTGGGCGTATGCCCGCCTCACATCATCATACAACATTGTAGATGGAACTGAGGACGTCATAACCGCAACAGTGACTGTCTCACTGTTGGGTTTCGCGACTGTTTCAAAGTCGGGACGACGTGAGAGTGCATCAGCGACGACATTAAGTCGTCCTGGTTTGTACTCGACCGTAAAGTTGTATTCTGCAAAGAATGACAACCACCGCGCCATTCGTTGTGAAAGGTGCGGGCTGTTCACTGCCGTGCGTAATGACGCATGGTCAGTGTAAACAACGAAGGGTCTATCTCCTAAGAGATAGACTCTGAACTTCGCGAGTGCATACTTCATGGCAAGGAGTTCCTTGTCATGCACTGGATAGTTCCGCTCAGCTGGTTGCAGCTGACGCGACTGATAGCAGACGACGCGTTCAACGCCTTCAAGATCGTACTGCATTAATGCACAGCCGATTGCGAAATCGCTGGCATCACAGACCACATGAAATGGCCTGTCCTGATCGGCTATTGCTAGGACTGGGGATTGTATCAAGCTCTGCTTGATACCCTCAAAGGAGCGTTGACATTCAGCGTTCCATAACCACCTCTCGTTCTTTTTCAACAAACGAGAGAGGTGCACAGTCATCTCGGCGTAATTGCGTGAATACTTATGCAAATACGCCGCTAGCCCAAGGAATTTTTGAAGACCTTTGACATCGACCGGCACAGGCCAGTCGGTGATCGCCTTGATCTTTTCGGGATCAGGACGTACACCGTTCTTACCAACGATGCACCCAAGAAGTGGTATTTCGCTTGCTGCAAATATACACTTCTTGAGGTTTGCATACAATTGATGCTTTCGCATGATTGTAAGAACTTGTCGGACGTGGTACCTGTGAACCTCAACGTCCGACTTTCCATCCATAGCTCGACTATGGATGAATACGTCATCGAAATAACTCGGCGCGAACTCTCGTACTGGTCTCAACAGATGTGATACACATCTGTTGAACGTGGCAGGGGCATTACTGAGCCCTTGTGGCATTACTAGCCATTCCCAGAGCATGCCGCTAGGCGTGCTAACTGCGGTATAGGGTATATCCCGTTCCCGCATTAGGATTTGATAGAAGCCATCCATCAAATCCATGGACGAAAAGATGGTACTCTTTGACATACCATCAATGATTACGTCCTTCCTCGGTATCGGCGTCTGAGCCGGTACCGTTGCAGCGTTCAATTTGTTGAACGCGTGCACTATCCGCCACCCTCCTGTTGCTTTTCGCACACAGAAGGTCGGAGAGCTATGTGGGGAAGTTGATTCCCTCACATGGCCCGCTGCTAAACGATCGGCAAAGAACTTGTCGATCGCAAGTACTTGTTCACGAGGCAGTGGCCACTGCTTCATGACACAGTACTTCGAGCCTGGTTTAAGCTCGACCTCGTGTCGAATACCTTTATCCTTCGGTAATTCGCACGGAACAGTTTCAGGGAATACATCCTTGAATTCAACCAAATCTTCATAGAGAGGATTTTTCTTGAGCGATTCCCATGATTGGGAGTCATATCGCTCAATTCGTGTCTTTTCATCTAGGACACTCTCGTCCATAGATGAACTACTGAGAACTCTCTCGTTCTCAGTAAACACTGTTGCTGACCTTATGTCGGTTACACACTCGTCGTCAGCGACGAGTATGCAGATCTGCTTGACTTTGCCACTACGCAGATCACGCAAGAACCTTTTATGTTCGAGCGTTGGCAACTGAGTGATCTCCGAAGTTAACTTCGGAGGCGCAATCAGATCAAGTGTATAAGCGCCTACACTTGATCCGTTATTGACTATGACATTCAATGTCTCTGTCATTTCCTGGGGACTTATTCCCTCAGGCTTCGAAGGACTTATTCCTTCGGCTTCCCGGGGACTTATTCCCGCGGGTTTCGGGGAACTTATTTCCGCCGTATTTGTAATCTTGGGACTTATTCCCTTTACTTCCTCTAGCTGGGGTTGCGCAACCACAGCGAGATCCTCTACGAAAGACTCTCCAGTCGATCTAGGATTATCGTTTCGCTTAACCTGAGCGATCGATTGTTTCTCTTCTAGATGTTCCCCTCTAGGGATACATCTTTGTCCCGGTCCACCCGACTTATTCGAGTGGTGGACCTTCGGCGCAGCCTGTGTTTCCTCACAGCCGCCGGAACTTTGCTCCGAAGTGTAACCGTTTGGTACACTAAGGTTTTGTGCAGTCGTACTAACGACCGTACCACAAGTGAGGCCATCGCACTCACTCGTAGTACATCCACACGCTTGTGGACGCTCCAAAACGTTCATCAGATGGCCATCTGATGAACAAGCGGCAGGCATCGTTACTGTCCGATGTTGCCAGTTTACCCGTGGTTCGTACCTTCTGAGCCACGGTATTCCAAGGATGACATCAAATTTGTCATCCAAATCCAATACGATAAAGTCATCGTCATATTGGGTATCTTCTAGCGTATAGTGAATCTTCACTATACGCTTCATGACTGGTTACGGATGCGCCTGTCGCAAGACGTACCGTCATCCTCGTAGGAGGTGTGTCACATTCACTGAATTTAAAGTGACCATCTTCTAGCGATTGGCGTCGCACAAAATTGTTGGACGCCCCACAATCGACTAGAGCTCGAAGGGACAACTTATTTGTCACTTCGAGTTTCAAGGTAATGAGTGAGATCTCATTACCTAGAGCAGCAACGCACAACGTTTGTGTGTTGGGAGCAACCTTCATCAAGAGGCCTACAAATTCTCTTGACGTTGCTAGACCAGTAGGGTGCTCCGCACCTACTGATCCTGTCCGTTTTTTGACGGTCCATCCCGTTGTTGCGTCTTTGCACCAACTGCGGACCCGCGTCCCTGCCCCTTTCTCATGGGTGGACGGTCATTACGCCCAGTGTTGCGAGACACTGGATGAGGGGGCACTACACTCGTAAGCGTAGTGTCCTGTCTTTTGACATCTGTTGCATCTCTGCAACTTCTTGTAGTCTGTAGAGCTAGCCTTCTCGCTCTCTACATAACAGAGTTCCATCGGCTCTGGACCTCCGCTGTCATATCGTCTCGGTTGACGATATGATGTCGAGCTGGCGCGAGCCTGTCTCAGACTGAAGTCTTCCTGCTCCGCAATGGAAATGGCTTGTTCTAGTGAATCTAGTTCAAGCCGGAACAGGTGAGTCTTGACGGGACCATCCGCAAGACCCTGCATGAACACCGAAACCAACGTGTGTTCATCCACTGGATTGGAACTTATACAACTCGTAAGATGTCGTATATGTTGAGCGTAAGCGTGCACATCACGCTTACCCTGCTTGAGCTTCAAGAGTTCGGTTCGAGCCCTGAACTCAGCTCTAGGCGGTTCAAACGTTTGTCTGAGCCGCGACTTGAAGACTTCCAACGACCCAAACGCATATGGGTCGTGCAACTTGAGCCCCAGTGCCCAAGTCTTGGCACGTCCTGCCAGATTTGATTGGGCAAATGCAACTTGCATATCCCCGTCGTCGATGCGACGCGCCCTTATGGCGTCATCCAATTCGACGAACCATCTCAAGAGGGAGTCCTCTTCGACTCCCCTATACTTGGAGATGTCAATCTTCAAGGTCTCGGGTCGACGCGAGTGCATCGACCCGCCAGCAGCAGCCTGCTGCTGTCTCAACAGTTCAAACTGTTGAGCACCTTGTTCTCTCAACAACTCTGCTTGTTGAGAACCTTGTTGGTGAAGCAAGGCTACTTTCTCGCGTTCTGCGTCAAGTTCATTTTGAATGAACTTGGCGATAGTAGCATGTTGGGCATCTCTATTGAGAGCCTCTAGCATGACGCTAACAGCATGGATGCCCATGGTCGAACCCATTCGTTCAACCGCATCCCATTCGACATCGCTCAAATGGGAGTAGCCGTCACGCGTAGCGTGAAAGCTTTGGTCATCTTCATCATCCAACATATTCATGTTAGATGTGAACGTGGTTCTTGGACGGACTACGTAGTGCTACCAGGTGTAACGGGGCACCCTGAAGCTTGTACTGGTGACAGTACAAGCTACTTATTCTGATAACAGAATAAGGCGGTGTCTCGTAACTTCACGTACACTCGTACGTGCAGAGGAAGACGGTAAGAAGAAGTGAGTACTTGGTTAAAGTAAAAAGTAGAACTGTATTTAGTATAGTTAATGTCTGCAATAAATCACTATTTATCTTCATCTAACTATGTCTAAATACAAATGTGTAAATCAGTTATCTGCTCACCACTCATTGCGTGCGTCTGTCGTGGCGCGTCTTCGTTGGTTGATATAATGGCCTATATCAACCAATTAGGAACTACTCGTAAGTGCTGCAGAATATTGTCCTTATGACAATATTCTGAGAATCTAACTCTTATAGTTATATTCTATTAACAATTTCTTATAAATTGTTATGTAACGATTCACCCCGTTACATTATCCAAAAGGGGATAATATTCCTTCGACTTGATCCATCTCGGATAACATTGGTAGAATATTGTCATGCTGGAAAATATTCCAATTGACACCGTTTGGTGTCAATTTCATGTAACGGGCTACCCCGTTACAGTACTGCAAATTATTTGGACTACACGGAGCTGACCTCGATAATAAAAGGGTTTCACCACCTCATGATAATCTTTTGCGATATCACTTAAATGGGCAATTACATATCCCAGTATAAAACCGTCACTTTCTAATTAAGTACAAAGAACGAGATCACTTTCACATCACCCCTTGGGTGCGCTCACAAATGCCGAAATGCAAACGTCGATTAGAAAACGGTGCGAAATGAAGATGAGAAATAAAATCACGTTACCTTCTAATCTAGAGATTAAAAGAGTAGTAGGGTGTATTACCTGGTTTAGCATAGGTGTGTGGATATTATGTTTGGAATATAGTGTTGTATTAAGGAAAAGGAGTGTGAAAATGTTCATTCTCTTTTAAAGGGTTTGGGCGATATTAACAGTACGTCGTATGATAAATTACGAACCCGAAGAGTGAATTTACTAGTGACTGAGCGCAAGATGAATGCCGAACCTTCAAAATTGTGTCGATCTGTGTGTGTTAAAAAAACGTGGCTAGGTGCACCTTACACGTATAAGTGCGATCTAGCCTAACCTTTCCTCGTAGGTCTGCAGGAACATCTGAAGTCACTCTTTGGCTAGGTCACTATTATGACACACGCTTGCCATTGGCTCATAATCGAATAAAGGTCCTTATGATCACATAAAGCAGATGCTGGACGCTCATAAGCAAAGGGGAATCGCGTTGCTGTACTGCACTAATATAGAAATTTACAGCATCTCGACTGACTACTATTTTTATAGTGTGATGCGTCAGTTCTTTAGACTGAATTACTGATTTCAAAGGGCGAGCTCCAGAGCTTGCTCCCCTATCTTAGAGGTGTGTGGTGATACCAAAAACGATTAGTGGCTGAAAGACTCCCTTTATTAATTTGCCAAGTTCTAAAAATTGGCACTTGATTTCTTAACCCTAATGATTTATCAATGAATTATTGACATAATTTACAGATTTGTGTGAGCAAATTTTGAATGAGCGCTATCACACGAAATAGTCTCGAAACGTATATCCAGTATTTGTCGCCATACAAGGCAGGATAAAAACTGTAGCAATCTTCATCGAAAAGTGTCTTCGAATTCACTTTATATGAGTCTGTACACACGCACGCGCATCTTCAGTGAGTGCATGAGAGATAGATACTCGGCGACGAGTGCGGAAGTCTAAAAGGGGGTTCGTCTGCACAGCGGCGTGCAAAGTCTTGTAGATCATGAAATAGGCGTAGTGCTGCAGACTGTGGCGATCATATGGTATGCAGCTCCCTTCTTCTCCAAAGATGCACATTTGCGCACAGTGTATGCCACGCTCGTAACATGCTTCACATTCTTCATTTTGCGTAGAACAACTTGCACTCCTTGTTTGCATAGGTCGGAAGCTCGCTACCGATTTGAGAAGACGTTGAAAGGCTGGGCAAGCGTTTTGCAACTCAAACTGATTTTTAAGCCAAAGAAATACATTCCATCTGTTTGTTTCTCCATTAGATAGACCGTTGCGGCTTAATAGGACCGATCTTACGGGCTAGTAAGTTTCCAGCGTTGTGGCTTGCTCTTTCCCGTCCGAATACCAATGAGCACACTGTGTACGCAACACTGCATCATTTGTGACCTAAGGTAAAGCCTAATCGAACTCAGTTGACTTTGCTAAGAAATATTTGCTAAATGCCAAGCGAGACCCGACGTTTTCGTGACCACCTCAACTTAGTCGCAATAGCCTCTACAAGATATGAATCTCCAAACTACACCAAGAAAACCACGTTCTTCAAAAATGCTGGTAGCATTATACCCTTTCTACCTTCAGATAGCTCATCGTGAATTTGGTAATGCTTGATCTTCATTGCCGTTCGTTCCTTCATCCTTCTCCAGCTCCTTCACGTCCTTCGTATTAGAACGGTCGCATGCTGTACCAACGACCGAAAATTGACCTTCCTTCTTCACGGTGGTGTATGCATCACTGAGCATCGTCATGTGGAAGTCACCGTTGAAATACGGAAGCAGCTTACGCAGTTCGCGATGTACCACGGGCGAGTCGGGTGGCAAGTTGTACCGATGCACGCGCAGTCGACGCAAGAGCACAATCGGAACATGTTTCACAGGATCGATCACACGTGCGATGGTGAGCACCATGCACGTTTCCGTGCGAAGACTCGACTCAGAAATAAGTGACATTATTGGCACACCTTTGATTCCGGCCTGACCTTCCTGACCTTTCCTTCGAGCTGCTTCCGCAACTTCACTATCATCTTCGTCCACAAAATCTGTCACAATCACGGCCAAGTCGTCACTCACGAGCTTGCTGGTCCACGCTTGGTTCGCACAAGCTCCGCGCATTTCGCCATCCTTCCTCTCCACGCGAGCGTAGTACGTGGATGGTCCGACCTGGACTTTACTCTGCAAGAACAGCGAAGAAATAGAAAGGAGAAAAGTAAACGGAAAACACTTAGCCCATTAGTATATCGCCAACAGCACAGGACCTCCCATAAGATATCGAATAGTCTACCTTGACTTCAAACAGCACATCAAGGCAATTTTCGAGCTCGATTGAGGTACGATTAAGTTTGTCAACCAGAGTTTGAAAGACCTGCGGGATGCAGACATCGTCTGGAGCTTTGCACACAAGTACGTTCGAAACGAGGCGTACCACATCCGTTGTCCACGTCCAGTCTTCCCCCTGCATTCACTGGTTTTGGCACCGTCGTCGCTGCTGTGCTCGTCCGTGAAAACGGCAAATTCGGTAACGTAAGGGGCACGAATTCACAGGTAAATGTGTCCACGAGGTCAGGTGCGAACCGCACCGCGACTTCAAATCGAGCTTGCAGGGTCTTCTTATGATCCCCAAGATCCACTCCCACGAGGTGCAAGTACCCGTGCAGGCGACCGAAAAGCTCTTGACACATGGCCGAGTGCGACCACACAGGCGCCTGCGTGAGTTTCTGCTGCAAAGCTGAAAAGTAAAGCTGTTGTTGGAGTAGTTCATCCTTGAGTTGAATATTAAGCTGCTCGACACGATCTGTCACTGCTTTCTGCTTGGCCGCCGTACAGGCTGCTAGCAGTACGTCACGTTCCGGTAATGCTGCTTTCCACTTGGCACAGAGCGCTGAAAACTGTTCATCCAGTAGCTTGGCTTCCATCCGTAACGCCTTCACCTCATGCTACAGCAACCAATCAAAGCATCATCAACGAAACACCACAACGACAAGAAAATGAGCTCACGGGGATGAGGAGATCTCTTGAGACATTGAAAGAGACGGCACCGCAGCAGAAATCGTGGTTCTTCGAGGCGACGAACCGAACGAGTTGCCTGACTTTCGAGCTGATGTACAGGCTGTCACTGGGTCGGCACGTGAAGGTCCCTCTTGTCGACCTGACATGCCGAAAATGAGGAGAGACCAACGTTGTCGAGAATCTTCTTTTGCTGGCGTCGGATATGACCGGACGATTGACGCGTGGCGACGGCGACAAATTGCGTCGTCTCTATCCACTACCTCGCTCCGGCACCTAACGTGAATGGATCGATTGATCGATGGATCAATTGATGAGCTCGAGCTTTCGAGTGTGGATGCTCGTATGTACGGATGTATGTGGTTCGTTAGTCGAATGATGACGATGAGTGTTTGAGGGCGCTGAATCAGCAGGAGCAGATACAGATGCAGACCTTTGTTCAAGATACAGCAGGTAGGCAGGTTACGCGTGACGTCGATGAGCTCGTTTTTTCGTCTTGTTGTCACTTGCTCTTACTCGACTTTACCATAAAGTTGATTCGAGGTCTTTTTGCTACATACATACGCCGAAGGGCATTTCGAGGTGGTGCCGTTGGCTGCTCTTTGTTTCGAGCGATTGGCCGATGGGAAGCACGTGCGTGCTACTTGACAGGTGGTGTCGATTTGGAGTGTTGCGTGTGAGGACGGGCAGGGAGGAGATAATCAAATGGTTGACATTCGGGAACTTGATGGCGCAAAGTCGATGCGGTTGCGTGACTTCCGCATCCAGAAGTGGTTAACGACATAATGACAACATCTCGTTCGCTGACTTGGTCGTAATGGTCCAACTGTTTAGTGCTTATACATGGTCTCTGGTCCTCGTGAAGACGAGGTCACGAGTCGACGGTGCACTGTTTGTCGTTGTCTCGCTGTCGTAAGGCGACAAGTGGTCGCAGTACGAGCCAAGTAAACATTGAGCTCCTTTCGGATGCTCAGACAGGCCCGTCCGCTGTTCACGCGCCGCGGGAATCTCGGTTCAGATTCTAGATGCAGTAGAGTCAACGTGCGAGCTGGTCGTGCATCAGCTGCTGTAGGTCGGCTTCGACCGACTGTCCTGCTGCGTAATAGGTCTGCTGAACACACTCGGTCCTAGAGGCTGTGTCGTGTTTTTTCGACACGGGGCCTCGCAGACGGACGACTCGTTGACAGATGGTAGCAACTGGTGGTGGACGCATGAGGCTCTAAGAAACAGAAGAAACAGAAGAAGGAGAAGAAGACGAAGGAAAACGTACACTGACAATCGTTGTCGTCTACAAAGCCGGATCTCTCGTTGTCGATGTAGTCGGTTGCGTGTATTACTGTAGCACAACTGATCGCATTAACGACGTGCGATACTTTCTACATATCACAATTCGTCGGAGCCTGGCCCGCCTCACAGTCACTCAGTCATCGAAGTCGTGCGGTCCATGGAGCGTAAATCAGATGATGGCGCCTGTCCATTAATCGATACCTCCCATAATCGGTGTTTCTCTCTGTTCTATGATGATGTGCAAGATCGGAGAGCGCACTCGACGGGTGAATACAACTCCTGACAATCTTTGCACATCGCTCATTCCGCTCATTCCACACCAAGCCCCTTTGTGTATACGAGCGCGAGTACTAATGTTGTCGACTGTATAGTGAACAACTATTTGAGTAAGTACAAATTAGAAATGATGAAATCCAAACTTCGGCGAATTGAGCCTCGCGGCTTCAAGCCATGGTGAAGGTGAAATGTTTTAGTAGTAACTAGATTGCTCAAAAGCCTCGCCAAGAGGTTGAACTGTTCCACCAAACGTCAAAATCGCCTAAGAGCAATCGCATTAGATAAAACTTTGGCCAAAATCGTACTTCAAGATGTCGCTACTCACTAAATTTCTACTGCATTGATGTTGATGCATGCGCTAAGCCGTAGGAATGTCCTTACCACCACATTTAAAACGAGCCCTTCTCGCATGACCATGCCATCAGTAGCACCGATAACGATCGAGACGATAAGGCAGTGAGCTTCTACCTTTCTTGTAGCAGGTAAGCATTGATTACAAAGAGAAGAATTTTACCGTTTAATCATGTTCTTATTCTTGAGCACCATCGATACCTGCGGATGCGATAATGTGTCGACGGGAGTGGTCGTTACGAAATATTTGTAGTGTGAAATGCACAATGATCTCGTCCTGCAGCATCCTACGTCCCATCCTGCGCGGTACGGAGCCTTAGGCTGTACCACGTATTCGACTTGGATTATTCAACATGCGCTATGTAAATAAAGCAGATGTGAAGGCCTAATTATGACAGCACGGTACGTGGTCGTGCAACCGACAGGAAGAAGAACCACACTGCACTTCGATGAAGCAATAATCCGAAATTTGTATTAATATTCGAATGATTTGTCGCAACTGCTCATTCTTCGTCACTGATTAATCATAGGTGCTTATTTTCTGTCAGCTGTGTTCATTTTTCACATTTGCTCATTTCTTGTCAGCTGCGCTCATTTTTTCATATGCTGCTCATTTTTTCACATGCTGCTCATTTTTCGTCGACGTTCTTCATTCTCGTCGACAAACAACCGGCAAATCCTGCAAATCACAAAAAATTGAGCAATTGCTCTGTATGTGTATCCAAGTCGAGACAGTTGACTTGCCGAATGTATGCAGCGGTGCTCGTTCGCAAAGGACCATCCCAACGGCGTACAAAGCACAGATACAAGTTAATGTCGGCACACTTTGTAAGAACCAGTCAATAGCAAATTGTTTAATGTCCAAGCAATTCACAGTAAATTATGCTGTAGTCACACCAAGAATGCCGCAACCCACTCGAACACACACCACTTGTATTCCTAATTTACATGGCACTTCCGTATGACAACCTAGTTGGTAGGACCTAGCAGCTGCTGCTGGTGTTGTTGAATGTAGTCGCACACGGTCGCTGTGAGTAGGTCTCCGTTTAGAAGAGGTCGGATAATCTCCAGGTCCTTCTTGAGGGCCAAGTCATCTGGCAGCATGTTGTAGTGGTAAACAACGACCCACCGTAACGTCACCGACGTCGGCTGTCCAGGCACCGCATCCTGTTGAGGTGTGACAGTGAGTGCACCAATTCCATACTGGGACGACAAACTCTTGTGAACCGGATGCAGCGGGTCGTCAACGATTGCGTCAATGTGCACCATCCCATGTGAAGACGTCAGCTCCGAGCAGATGACATTGTTCACAATGGCAGGGAGCCCTGCTCCTTGGAACGTCGAGCGACGGTACACCACGGGTGAGTCCTCACTGTTCAGTCGGACACGCTCGGCGTTCACATTAAAATGACGCTTCATGGAGGTCGGGATGCCGTCAAAGTAGGCCATAACTGCCGCATACACTTCCTCGAGGGACGTGTGTGGGATCTTGGTGATAAAGACGCTCGATATAAGAGTGGAATCCCTGCACCCTGTCACGTCAATCTGCGACAGCGGCATCCCCTGTTCCATCTGCTTGTCCTCCTTCTGGCTTGCAACGACCTTGTTTATTGCCATCTGCGTCAGTTTCTCAACGATCGACGGCAGCGCCGCAATCGACCGCTGGTGATGAGCCAGAAGCACCTGTTCCCTCTCGTTGGGATTGCGGTTGAGGTGAGTGTTAAAGTGGAGGGCCTCAAAGATAGCTTGACCACTCGAGTGCAGAGGAGCCCGCGCCATTGCCGACTGTAAAGTCGCAAAGACCAACTGCTGCTGGAGCAGCATCTGCTGCAGCGCCTGGTGCGTCTGCTCGCTTTGCTTGGCTTTGTGCTTCTCTCTCGCCGAGTGCTGGGCAAGTGCCAACGTGCGTGGATCGAGGACCTCGGTGGTCCATTTTTCATTCAAACGACGCAGTTCTTCTTCCATTTCGACTACTTGGGATCGGAGGAGACGGACTTCATGAGTGGTGGAGAGAGGGACTCTAGTAGCTGTTCGGGAGCGAGGGGGGGTGAGTGTCGACCCCGTCATGGCCCAAGTGAGCTCCTCGTTTGTATCGATAGAATAAGGTAACAAGTGGTGGGACTTGTGCTTGCGAGTGCTGCTGGTGGTGCTGCTGGTGCTGGTGGAGGTGGCGGGGGGTTGACTGAGCTCGAGAGTGCTAAAGTAGGCGGGAGAGCTCATGATGAAAAGTGAGAGGACACGTAGGCGTGCTGGTAGGGCGTTACGCTTGAGATTTTTTGTGCTTCTAGAGCTCGAAAGAACGTGGTAGACAGACGACGTCCGGCTGTCTGTCTGTCAGTCTATCTGATGCAGGAATTTGATGATGAGTTTCTGTCCAAGGCTGCGGGAAGTGTACCCGCTGAGGTCCAGAACCGGAATCTGCCATAAGTGATGAGGTGGCACTAGAAGAAGAGCAGCTAAGCTGCCTTGCAAGTCGTTGTGATTATTTCGTGGCTGCGACGGCTGGATGGGTGTGGTACCTTGAACACCGGTATGCGCTTGGTGCTGCCGAATTGGGCAGTTTGGACAGGACACTGAAATCAGAGCGTGCGTGATGCTGGTCAGTTCTATGGGCGGTGCGAGGGATAGAACATCAGCTCCTACGCAATTTGTTTCGGGTACGTGTTGCCCTGTCGATCAACGAGTGCGAGAGCATTGCACAAATGAGTTTTTTTTTCGGTGAGCTACGTTGAAATTGTATGCACGCGATAGTACAAAACACCGACAGAAGCAGTGGAAAAACGCAATACCGCAATGGTTCGTCTGCAAGCGATTGCGACGCACTAACGACGCATCGACACCCTTACTTTAATTCAGCTGTCTGCTTTTTAATCTTTTTTCGAACCGTTTTCACGATCAGCTTGGTAGTTTATGCTATAAATCTGCCTTGTTCCGCTTAAGTACGCTTCCACTAAATTTATGTTGGCAGACGTTTCTGATTCTAATTTCGATGGCACGAAAAAGCATGCAATCCTACATTCGCGCTGCACAAATATAGAATCGTATTTTATCTGACATTAGTCTACGCTCGATGCGTTTATAGTGAGTGCGGTTTGTGGGGTATTGCAAAACTATTTACATGGCATAGTGAAGTGCTAACATTTTGTGGGAAAGTACTTCGAATCAATTCTCAGTCGTAAATATGAATTCAGAACTAAGGTTGATCACTGAACATCGAGGTCGTGCTGTCTTATTTGTTTCTCATAAAAAAAGAATTGAAGTGTTTCGAAGTTTCATTTGTCCTTTAATAGTTCGGCTAGGGTAAACTCCGATTGTAAAACGTAATTAACGGCAAGTGCTATACGGCTGGGTTCAATTTATATTCGGCTGTCATTCTTTTGATATAGGATTACAGCAAACTGTTGTTTGAAGCTCATGTTGTTAAATCGTGGAATGACCAGACTTACCACAAAGGGTAAATTTCAAAGAACCACTGGCAAAAAGGACCATCCCGAGATAGCTCAACGTCATATCAACGATGTACGTCTACTCCTTTTTTGGTCTTTTTTGGTGTTCTAGTCCGTGCACCAACTCATGGCGCTATCGGACACTCTTTGCGAGATTACAAACACAATACATTTGTGTGTATGCGAATTAACTGCGATCACTAATTTCACTCATTATCTTGCATCGCTGATTGTCGGTTTTTAAGCTGACCGCAGCGGTTCCAAAATTGTGAAATTTCAGTAATCGCAATTAAGTTGGGAATTATGTAAGAGTGTGTCACTAAACTTTTCAAGGCGTGGATGCCGTCCCTTTTATCTAACGGGGTTACACGGCGGCTAATTGAAAGGGTTATGTTGTGTGTGCATACCAAGTAAATATCGGTGGATCTGAGTGGTAGAGTATTGGTGCCACGCACTTACGGTAATACCGCACCTTATCGGTTAGGGATAAGGGATAAGACCTCTGTCATAGGATCTCAAGTCAGCCAGATAAGGTTTTATGGTTTTATTACCGTAGATAAAATATCAATAACGTTCAGTTCCCCTTTGAATCGTCGGACACAAATGCCTAGTAAAGGCGTAGTGTTTAGTCAAGCACATTAGCCTTGTCAAGGCGCTTACTCTTGTTATACTAGTAGTGACGAGTTAGTGTGTGATTTTGAGATCGTAATCCCTTTAGAATCGGGATTATTAAGCTTGTACACTTGAACGAGTGTACGTCGTTGTTAGTTTGTCATAACTAAGAGACTCTATGAGTCCAAGACTTCTTCTGCTGAGGAGCGCTAAGTAGCTCCGCTACACTTGGTAGCACTTGAATTCAATTTACACCTGATTCTTTACAGACTGAATCCTCTGAAAAGTTGAAAACGGCTATGAACCTCTCTGAGGCCCAGCAGACTAAGCTTAAGAAGCTCAAAGCCTTGATCAGGCACGAGCAAGTGGCTCTTATAGTGTCGCAAGGCCAAGACGCACTTCGTGCACGTATTGAGGCCTACTCGAACTTTGAGTCCACGTTGATCGGACAGGTACACATGACCATTCGGCATCTGCCTTGACCACTAAGTATGTTCCAACACCGGACACTGAGTCAAGGACTCGCCCTCTGGTCTTACGTGTCTCGAATAAGTATCTAGAATTTTTATGGGTAAAGAGAGAGAAAATCTCCTTTTGTGAGTATAAGCGCTGGAGGTTTCCATCAGCTCGGCCCTGCTGCGGTCCGTTTAGCAAGAGGCGGGCCTGGCCCTATCGAAGTTAGGTGGGCAAGCCAGGGAGTAAGCCTTCACTTCTGGCACCTCTATAGACGAGGCTTTTCCCACCTGAAATTACTAAAATATCAACCATATGGGTGTTTACCCCGACTAATCAGGCATATCGCGTGCGATCACGCTTCCTGTCAACCTGCCAGGGTAAAAGTTACTTAGTTGATCATATCCAGAAGTTAAAAACTCTATTGAAGCTGTGCAGCGAAAAATTTACCGAATACGGTTTTAGTAACCACTTTTATGGAGGCACCTTCGCACTGGCGTTACCAAAACGGAAGTATTCCATGCTTAACCCTCGACATCTAAGAGTACAGTGAAAATAGCGCTGAACGCAGAATTCATCCTTAAATGCGCCCTTTATAGGATTCATGGGTTCCAACCAAACTCGTCAGACAATGCTCAAATAATGGATAGGGTAGAACCCATGTACCTTAGTTTCGCTAAGAGAGACGAAGAAGCTGAGCTCTGCGCTGTCGAAAAGCGTTCGAACATTAGTAAATGTTCTGCGTGCAGAAGCATCAAACATCTCCGCCTGAGCTGTCCTGTGAGAAGGACCATATAGGCTTATTCAAGCCGACCTATCGTCGCTAATAAAAGAATTGGTAAGGCGCGGGAAGACGTCGACTCTGAGTAGGCGCGGGGCACCCTGCTGGGTAGGATTTAGGCTCTATTGTACCTCTGAGAGGTGATGGAGAACAGGGCGTATCCCCAAGTGGCTTGTTGAGCGATGCCACGAAGCTTGAGCGCAAGCCGTGCTTGTTAGTCGCGAAAGCAACCGTGAAGGGCTTTTATAAGCCATGGTCAATATTAATCGACTCCTGGGGGGGCAGAAAATTAAGTTCGACGTTGTTCCCTGGAGGGTAGTCAGCAGGATGATGAGGCACTGAAAGCGCGAAAGAATGTGAATATCACTGTTCGCTTGGTGACAGGTGCATTATTCACTGTGCCTAAAGGTTTTGTGAACCTAAGCGTTAAGTTTTCGGACTTTGACAGTGTAGAACGCTGTCTAGTCCTTGACTTGCATGAGAGGTATGATTCATCCTTGGTCTGGCTTGGCTAGAACGCCATGAGCCATATATTGATTGGAGGTCGAAGACCTTAGGCGCAACGCGCACTGTTCCTAGTAAAGCTTTCGAGAGTCATAAGCCAAACTCTGCTAGGCAACAGAAGCGCTATCGGCGGGAGCCACGGACTGAGACAGGCAGTGTGCTGGACATCGGTATGCCTGAACTCATTGATTTGGACGATGTCAAAGATGCTTTTTATAAGCCAAGCTCAATGACTGTTAGTGAGACGGCACGTACTCCGTCAAGTGATAATTGTTGTGATAATGAATCACTAAATGCTGAATGCATTGTTGGACTAGAGCCAAGTAATCATGGGCTGAACCCATCTGGTGAGCGTGGAGTGGCACGTAAGTATTCACTGAGTGATGTTGGCCGTGATTACGACACACTGAATATCAGCCAAGAAATTGCTGGTAAAATACCAAGTCATCAAGGGCGACGTCGATGAGCGAGGTGTGGCAAGTAAGTACCCACTGGGTGGTGATTTCACTGATATTTATTCATTACCAGATGTCGGTAATGACATCGGATCATTACATCGATCAAATTAAGGCTGACAAAGCTTGTCACCTTGTGGACAGTGTAGTCCCGGATGTCGGTGATGACATCGAACCTGATAATGGGCAGATTAAGGTAAACGGGATTCGTGACCTAGAGAACAGGGTCGTACCGGATGTCAGTAATGATATCAGCTTTAGTGATGAGCAATTTAGAATTAAAGGTCATGTCAACCTTGGGAACAGCGATTTCCCGGGTGTTGGTAATGACCCGGCTCTTGTGCAGAGCAAGTTAAGGATGATGATGATATCAACCTTAGGTACGAGTAAGTTCCAGTCTCTTTGATACATTCAGCCTCTTTTAAGAGACGACAGCGACGCCACATTGCTGCTTTGCAACGTCAGGCGTCTGTTACGTCACTAAGTGATACTAGCGAGCAGCTATACACTCGTTAGTGGAGTGACTGGTGACGTTGATGGGTCAGTGAGTCTTGAGACTCTAACCAAAATATTCTGTTAGAGCTAGGCAAAATGTCTGTCGATGAGTTTGGCCTGACCTTGAAGTTGGATGACTTATTTGAAGTGGTGGTTTTTAGATCCGATTGTGAGTTAAACTCATCATCACTTCTTGACGAGGCTGTATTGGTAGATAAAAAGGAGGCAATGAGTGCTCGAAGTGGGTCATAGATCTTGAAAGATCCTGAAGACCCGTTTTATACTTTTAAAAGGAGTTCCAGGATGTGATATGTCGCGTTTCACCTTCCACTCTGCCTCCTGACCGAGGTGTACGTTATGAAATTGACCTAATTCTTAAAAGTAAGTAATGTGGCACAAGGCAATGGCTCTCACCAAAGTAGCAGTGTGACGTCATTAATAAGTTCATTCGTGCAAAGTAAGCGGCTGGAATTG